GTCCTTCTCCTTGGACGGGGCTTTGGTTTCCATGTACGAGGGACGTCTGTGACTTCCCAGGCCAGAGTCGGTGCTGCTGCTGGAGGCAGAAGCCCCATACCTGCTGGACGAGGTACTGCCGTTGCTGTTGTCGCTGCTGCTGCCGTACCTGCTGCTACTTGAGTAACCCGAGTCGCCTCCGCTGGGAGGGACCGAGGTGTAGGAGCTCCTGTCGCCCCAGTTATTCCTAGAACTAGAACTACCGGCTACGTCGCGAGCCTGGGCACTCCGCCCCAGCAATGGCCCAACGTCCGGGCGAGAGTACTCGGATGTTGCCTCCTCCTCCTCCTCCTCCTCTGACGACTCTTCGCTCTCCTCGGACTCGGAATCATCGCTGCTCTCCTCCTCGTCGTCGTCGTCGTCCTCATTCCCTGATTCCTTCGAGGCCTCCACTGAGGGAGTACCGGCTCGGCCTAAAAAACGCGATGAGAAGCGGGAAGCGCTGCCCGCACCCGACGAGCGCGACGCCTCCGCCTTCGAGGTGGACGGTTTCGAATCCGTCCTCATGAAGCGGTTCCGAAGCTCCTCCGTGGAGAAGGCGGCGCCCGTGTTCTTCTTGGGCGACGCGGCTCCGTCCCCGGAGTTGCTGTCGGTACTGTTGGAGCGGGACAGCTTGCGCTCGTACGAGGTCGCTTCTAGCGTCCGGGGGCTCCTGTTGCCGCTGGCCTTGTCGCCGACGGACGAGTTGGACGACGAGCGGCTGAAGGGGTACGAGCGATGCGACACGCTCGTGTCGACGCTCGTCTTGCGCGACGGCGTGGAGCCGTTGGCCCCCGAGGCGCTGTAGTCGCGGCGGCGGTCGTCCTCGCGCGTGACTGACGACGACGGCGAGTGGTTCGCCGACGACCTCGGGGAGGTGGAGGTGCGGTCGCTGCGGCTCTGGCGCTCGTCCTCGCGGATGGAGGACACGCGCTCTCCCGCGGGTTTGGGCGTGGTGGGTGTGCTGGGAGTGGAGGCGCCGGAGGGGGTGGCGGCGCGGTCGCGCCCCCGGAGGTGGACTCGGCCGCCTTGTTCTGCTTCTTGATCTTGTCGATCTCGTCTTCGTTGCTGGTCTGGCGGGCAGGCTTGCGCTGCAGGGGGGTGACGGGGGGCTTAGGCGCCGTGTTTTGTGCTGGCTTGGCTGGTTCTTCCTTCTTCTTGTTCTTGTTCATGTCGCGCTCCTGGAAGCGCTTCATGACCCGCGGCGAGTCGGTGATCCTGACGATGCCCGACAGGGGGCCGCGGGACACGTCCTCGGTGTCGATCACGCGGTTTCGCTTGGGTCCGTCCTCCTCGGAGAAGCGAACCGAACGCTCCTCGTCTTCTTCTTTGCGCATGAACCGCGACCGGAACCGCCGCCGCCCAGAGTCAGCCGAGGAATCCTCGTCGTGCCTGTGAGGACAACAGGTGAGCGGGGCTGAGGAGGAGGAGGACCGCAAGAGGAGATCCTTTGGGAGAAGGTAAGATGCTTGACGCCACATGACGAGAGGGGAGTGAGAGAGAAGAGAGGAGGTGGACGTGAGAGGGAGAGAGAGAGACAGCAGAGATGGGCGTCCTATACAGAGTTATTTGGTTACGTCAAGCAAGCTACCGCAGACGTAGCACGATATTTACGTGACAGTATCCACAAGTATTAATAAGCATCTCAGAAAGAAGCTATTAGTACATCTTGACTCGAGAAATGACAAAAAAGAGAGAGAAAACACCAAAAAGAGGCTTCATTTCTGGGTGTTTCGCAAATGATTCAGGGGGGTTCCATATTCGCAAGAAAAGTCTGAAGTATGAAATTAAGGGGCATTTTATGGGGTTCTTATTAATACATTATATTATGGTCACTCAAATCGTCTTAATTTAGGTGCTAATTACCTAGAGTGTTACGAGAAGCTTAATTACATTATCTATATGCTACTATTACCGTTATTTCCCTGATTTGCCAAAAGCCAGTACTTACTCAACACTCTAAGGAATTATTCGAGGCGGAATCTTAAATTTCCAAAATAATTTATATATATGTGACTTAGGGAGTTTATATTTATCTGGTTAAAAATGGAGGCTGGTTGGAGCATGTGTGAAGGGAGGGGGGGGGGGGGGTAAATGCATGTCTTGGCGTCGACGTGTTAAGCTTGTGTTAAAGCTATACTGGGACGGTGTTACGCGTGTGTTAGGCCATGCCCGGACCTGTTAAGAGTGTGTTAGGGTCACACCGAGACTATGTTAGGACTGTGTTTGTTTCGTGTTAGATTCCGTCAGTGTCTTAGGGGCTTAAATGGTTATGGCCGGGGAACGGAAACTACACTTCTTCACATACTACAGACATACATGAACATTAATCTCTTTTTAATTGACTTCTAAAGCAAATCTCTAACAAGAAGAAAGTGCAAACTATGTAAATACATCTCATTTGATCTCTAAAAGAATCTCTAATATTTCTTGTTTTAAATTGACTAGACAGAAGTTCAAAGTGCAAGAACAATATGTAAAAAAGGTAGAGTCAGTCTCACTTTCTGACGGCTTCCAGCACCAACGGTAATGTCATTCTCCACGTCTTTTCTGGCGGGAAAAAGCTGGGAGAAGGAGCAGTCACTTCCTTGGCCCCGTCGCCTTTCTTTCCCTGACTTTTATCCCCTGAATTCTCTTATTTCCCCCTCTGATGTTTTTTCCCCTTCCCTTTCTTTCTTTGGTAATCAACCCAACCCCCCTTTTGAACATTTCCTCCTCAAAGACATGACAATGACTTTACCATCGAAAGCGGAGCCAAGGGACATGACACAGCTGGTTAGTCTAGGGTCTTCTTAGAGAACGTGAGACCGACTGTACCTCTCGACGTTCCTCTCCCCGAAGCGTCTGCGCATAAGCGGCGATGTCCTGCCTGTGGTGTAACCGCCGTAACTATCGTCCTGGTCTCGGTACTGCGCGGCGAGGCGGTGGTCGCTCTTGCTCTTCATCAGCCCCGAGCCCATGCACGGCCCGGAGGAGTAGCTGTCGTTCATCTTGTTGGGCGTGCTGAAGGTGATGTCCCCCAGGGTGCTCAGCTGCGTCGACAACTGCGGGAGGAGGGGGAGGAAGGGGGGAGTGAGTTCGGTCTGAAGTGAAGTCGAGGGCGAGGGTGTTGGGTTCCGAGGGCGCTGAGAGGGGCGTCTTGTGGGGGTTGTGCTTTCAGTAAAATGCATTGTGACATTCAGAAAGGGGATTTGAGGAGAGAGAGAGAGAGAGAGAGAGAGAGAGAGAGAGAGAGAGAGAGAGAGAGAGAGAGAGAAAGAAAGAAAGAAAGAAAGAAAGAAAGAAAGAAAGAAAGAAAGAAAGAAAGAAAGAAAGAAAGAGAAAAAGAAAGAAAGAAAGAAGAGAGAGAGAGAGAGAGAGAGAGAAATATATATATATATATATATATATATATATATAGAGAGAGAGAGAGAGAGAGAGAGAGAAAGAGAAAGAGAGAGCAAGAAAAAGGAAAAAGAGAAATACAAGAAAGAAAAAAGAGAAGGTATCAAGAGAGACGCCCTGCAAGTATACCAAGAGACCAAAGAAGAAGAAGAAGGAAAACAACAACAACAGTACCTTATTGAGGTCGTCCGGCGGGTTGAACCTCGCCCTCCTGCTGTAGTCTCCGGCCTCGTAATCGAAGCTTCTAATGAATTCCATCGTCTTGAGGAAAATGTCTTTGGCGTCCATGAGCTCCGTGTCGTCCCATGGGGTGTCGTCGTCCATGTGTTTCTCGGCGAGTTCGATGTTGGAGCCGATGTTGGAGACTTCCTGGTCGAGACCCTCCTTCAGGACGGTCAGGTTGCGAAGTTCCGCTTGGTAGTAGTTTTCAAGCTGCGCGGGCGAGGGGGAGGGAGAGAGGGAGAGAGGGAGAGGAGAGGAGGGAGAAGGAGAGAGAGAGGGGGAGAGGGGAGGAGGGAGAAGGAGAGTTGAAGGGAGAGAGGGAGGGAGAGGGAGAGGGAGAGGAGAGGGAGAGAGGGAGAGAGCGAAAGAAGCGTGAGGAAGGGGGGGGGGAGAGAGAGATACATACATAGAGAGAGAGAGAGAGAGAGAGAGAGAGAGAGAAACGTGAGGAAGGGAGAGAGTGAGAGACGGAGAGTGGCGTGGGGAAAGGAGAGAGAGGGAAAAAAGTGTTAGAATACGAGATTTTTTTTTGCCTATTTCTATATATATTTAATTATTATAATTGTTTTATTAAGGAGTGATGATTGGGGTATATAAATGAGATCATTAAATAGATCACATAAAAGGATCATAACAACAATAAGAATAACAATTAGCCAAAAAAAAAAACTCCAAAAACTTTAAAGTGTATTTATATACAATCATAAAATCCGCATAAAAAAAATCCCACACACAAAAAAGGAAAAAAAATATATATATACACAACTTTCCTCCCCCCCCCCCACCCCTCCCGCGTCAACCCTACCTCTGTCTTGAGAAAATCACATCTATCTCGAAGGGATTTTTGCAAACGAACACAAATATTCTCGATTTCTTCCGTGACGCTGCGCCTGTGTTCTGCTTGAGGCTGAAATGTTCCTCCTACGTTGGAGAGGCGGTGGGCCCCTCCTTTACGATGGGAGGCGAATGGGCTTGAGTGATTGGTAATTGGTGTTTGTTTACTGATGAATGCAGCGTTGTTTGAGTGGTTGGTAATTGGTTGTTTTTTTTTTTTTTTTTCTTTTGGTAATGAGGTTGTGGTGGTTTTTTTTTTTAGCGTTTTTTGATTTTTCGGTGTAATTGGTTTGGTAATGGTTTTTTACTGTGGCGTGATGATGAGGTTGGTTCGTGTTTCAGCTTGTTTTTACCTGTGGGCGTGAATGAGGTTGTTTCAGTGTTTAATTATTGTTTTCTACCTGTGGAATGAGGTTCGTGTGTGGTGATTGTGAAAGTGGGTGGTTGAGTGTTTTGTTAGGTGGGGATACATGAGCTGTTTGTAATTGGTGCTTGCAATTGTTTGGGTTAACTTCTTCTCTGAGAAGTATATTTATTCGCGTTCACCTTCTTCGTGAGTGTACTTTTATTATGTGTTATGGTTGTTGTGAATTGGGAGATATTGTATTACTTGTCGTGAGGTTCGGTAGTTGTTGTTGGAGAAGGTCTACTGTATAATATTCTGACTCTGATTGCATGAAATTAACTTTTAACTGTCTTATTTGGTGTGGGTTTGACATTTGACACTTTGTGAATTGTTATAATAAAATTTAAGTAAGTTTTGTGTACAGTAACTTCTTGTACTTCAAATAATAACGAATAAAATTAAGTGACAGAGCTGTATGTATAATAATGGTGTACTATCACAAACAACACTGAAATCTCCACATATAGCCATAACACTCCCATAACCATGATATAAAAAGAACTTATGACTTACCTTCTCACAAGTAATAGATAAACAGACGAAAAATAACCACATAAAATAAAGCCGAAATAACTCAAGAATAAAAAATAGAAACTCTATATCATATATATCCCAATATGTATATATGATATCATGATATATATATAGGCTCGAGTATACCCCGGTACAGTATATAAATATTTAAGTAATATTTCGCGAATGGGCACACAGGGCACAGTACCACAATACGGTTATTTTTTTTCGCAATGGCGAGTAGTTCTTTTCGTTAAATACTATATCATCTGCGTTCCTATGTACTGGCCTGTTGAAAAAAAAATTAATATGTATATTAAGTAGAAAAATAATTATATAAAGACCGCACATACAGTACACAATATGATTATTATGACACCCCCCCCCCAAAAAAAAAAAAAGAAAAGAAATGTTATATCGTTTAATTATGAATTTTTTAACTTATTTCAGTTCATATTCTTTTCAAAACATTGATCTAATGATTCTACGGTTCGGGTTTTAAGAGATTTTTGGATGCGAGAATGATTCTTAATTCAGTGGAATTCAATAGTATGGGAATTCAAAATTCAAGGTTAATTTTTTTTTTTTTTCACATTCCATCAAAAAAACACCAAATCATAAATTTAAACACCGTTTACTGCTAAACACATCCAATATATTTAAACTAACAATCAAACAAATCATACAAGAAAAAAAAATCAGCAATACAAAAAAAATATATATCATATCGTTCGTATAGCGCGATTGCAGAATCCGCCTGCACGAATCCACGAACGCTTCCCGTTAGCCCCGCCCACCGCCAACCTACCCGTATGTGGATCCGGTGCCTCGCCAGTGATCTCGATGTGCGCCTCAAGGAACCTCTGCAGGGTGACATTGGAGGGGAAGCCCTGGACCCCGTTGTAAGGGATCCTGTGCTCGGCTCGGCACTCTGGGCACTTGACCTAAGGGCGGAAGGCGGTGTTAAAGAGACGCTTTAGGGGTTTTATATCGGGGTTTCATTTTATGGAGGAAATGTTTATATTAATGATGATTATCTGGGTTGATTAAAAAATATATAATCATAATGAAAAAGAGAAACTATAAAATGTAAAATTAATATTGATAATTATCACTTTCAAGATCACTAGTATAATTGCAACGATAATGCTAATAATGATATCAAGATTAATAGCAGTAATAGCTAGTAATAGAAATAGCTATAATGATTGTTAGGGTAATGATAATAACAATAACAACAAAAAACATAATGATGATGATTATGATGATGATAATAAAATACCAATATCATAGTCATTATTATCATTATCATTATAAAAAAATAATAACGATCACAAATACACTTATACCATGAATCAAAAAAGAAAAAAAGTACTAATCAGAGTTACCAACTTTATAAGGAAAATGACAAAAATAACGAAAAAAAATGGCGAAGAGAAATGACAATGGAATAAACGTCGATGGTGATAAAATTTGATATCTAAAAAAATAGACTAAATGGCCTAGTTAATTACCACATACATCCTTACATAGGATCAACATGGCCACATACAGCGCTAATCTATCAATTGTCAGTACACCAAATGGTGAGGTTTAATACGGCATATAACCACTGAAGTTTAGAAATAATAATAATAATAAAAAATGAAAATCCTACAAATGGTGTTCTTTCCCTCGACATCGAAGGCTTTTGACATCACAGCACATCACACGATATTCCATCACCACTCTTGTACATCACCACATCACCACAACACTCGTACATCAACTCACACCACCACCACACCACCACACACACTTGTTCACCACCACTTCACCACACATCACTTTCATACACCACCACATCACCACACTCTCGTATATCACCACACGCCACCATCACAGCACCACATTCTCTCGTACACCACCACATCACCACCCTCTCGTACATCACCACACCCTCGTACATCACACACCCTTCACTCACCTGTCGACGCACGTAGTCGACGAGGCCCTCCATGCACGGCTCCATGCACACCGAGTGCTGGCATGGCAGCAGCTTCGGGTTCCGGAACCTGTCCAGGCAGATGCAGCAGGTGAGCAGCTGCTCCAGCTGGTGCGCCATCTTGCCTCCGGCGGGTGCTCTGCTGGGGGAGAAAAGGGGGGGTGAGTTGTTTGCCGGGGGAGAAAGAGAGGATAATGGTAGTAATAATAATAGTAATAATAATGAGGAGTTTCGTTTTTGCTGGGGAGAAAGAGGGGAGAGGGGGGAGTTTGTTTTGCCGGGGGAGAAAGAGGGGATAATGGTAGTAATAATAATAGTAATAATAATTAGGAGTTTGGTTTTATTTGCTGGGGGAGAAAGAGGGGGGAGGGGGTGAGTTTGTTTTGGTGGGGGAGAAAGAGAGGATAATGGTAATAATAATAACATATATTTTAATAATAATAAGGAGTTTTTTTTTTTTTTTTTTTTTTGCTGGGGGAGAGGGAGAGGGAGGGGGCGAGTGAGTTTTGCTGGGGTGAAGGGGGGGGGGTGAATGAATTTTCTCCTGTGTTACTTCTCTCGGATTTTGGGAATTCTGGCTGTCTGTCTATCTATCGACTTATTTATCTATCTATCTTTTTCATCTTTATCTATCTATATGTCAGAAAATGTTCAGATAATATAGTGAATAATCGTTATCATCTGCAAATAAGAAATGATTATAAGGAGATTTTGGGTAATTCAGGAAATGTAGATATATTAAAGGGATCATATAGATAATAAGAAAAAAAGGGGTCGTAGTTTTGAAAAAAATCAGTTGGTGGATAGATAGTTCCCTCGTTCCGTTCCTTTCTCTTTCTTTCTTCCCTTTTCCTTCCCTTCTTTACCCTCCCCAAGCCCTTGCTTCGTCATTTTCATTATTTTTTATTTCTTTCCCATCTCTTTTCATTTTTCCTTCGCCCTGTTTCCTCTTCCTCTTCCCTTTTCCTTCGGTTCTCCTTTTTCCATTTCCTCTTTTTTTTATCCCTTTCCCTTCCATTCTCCTTTCTTCCTTCGTTCCTTTCTCTTCCGTTCTCTCTTTTGTAATTTTTCTATTCTCTTGTTCCCTTCCGTTATCGTTCTTACTTGACCCTTCCCTTCCTTAGACCCCTTTCTTATTCTTCTTCCTCTCCCTTCTCTCCTTCAACCTTGCTTCTCCCCCTTCCTTCGTCCTTTTCCTCTTCCTTCTCTCTTTCCCTATCATTCTCATTCTCCTTCCTCCGTCCCCTTAGCGCAGTGCCATTCCTTCAACTTGACCACCGGTGCCAATGACGTAGGTGGCACTCAGATGCCTAGATGGCCGCATACCCATCACACACGACCTTATATCGCCATGAGTCCGGGGTTCGTGACGTCACCGACCCCCAGTGGCAGCGAGTACACAACCCTGATTTAAGGCCATGAACCAATTCGAGTGACTGGGTGAGAAAGAGAGAGAGAGAGAGAGAGAGAGAGAGAGAGAGAGAGAGAGAGAGAGAGAGAGAGAGAGAGAGAGAGAGAGAGAGAGAGAGAGAGAGAGAGAGAGAGAGAGAGAGAGAGAGAGAGAGAGAGAGAGAGAGAGAGAGAGAAAGAGAGAGAGAGGAGGAGGAGACAGACAGACAGACAGACAGCAACAGAAACAGAGAGAGAGAGACATACATACAGACAGACAGAAACAGAAAGAGAGAGAGAGAGACATACATACAGACAGACAGAAACAGAAAGAGAGAGAGAGAGACAGAAATGGAAACAAAGAGAGAGAGAGCAGACAGAAACAGAGAGAGAGAGAGAGAGAGAGAGAGGAGAGAGAGAGAGAGAGAGAGAGGGAGAGAGTGAGTGAGAGAGAGAGAGAGAGAGAGAGAGAGAGAGAGAGAGAGAGAGAGAGAGAGAGAGAGAGAGAGAGAGAGAGAGAGAGAGAGAGAGAGAGAGAGAGAGAGAGAGAGAGAGAGAAAGCGAGAGAGAGAGAAAGCGAGAGAGAGAGAGCGAGAGAGAAGAGAGAGAGAGAGAGAGCGCGAGAGAGAAAGATAGATAGAGAGAGAGAAGGCGAGAGAGAGAGTGAGAAAGCGAGAGAGAGAGAGAGAGCGCGCGAGAGAGAGAAAGATAGAGAAAGAGAGAGAGAAAGCGAGAGAAAGCGAGAGAGAGGGTCAGTGCCAAGAATACCCACGCGGGCTGAGCTCAGGTGCCAAGACCGGCAGCCGCTGTCTCAACCGTCACTTAAGACTTTGGCTTCGGCTTCGTTTCGCCTTATTCCGAGAGATGGCGTTCGATCGGTAAGGTAATGGAGTTCATGTGTTCTTTTGTCGGGAAGTAAGAAGAACATGATTTTTTATTAATTTCTTGATTAGTAATGGTGATATCTATGAACAAATTTACCGTAGAATAAGTTATATAAAAAATGTCTTAAAGAGTCCTATCGTAAGAATATCCAAAAACAAAAAAATCGTTCTCTTTATTGTTTTCTTGTTCCTTTTTCTGTCTGGCTTCCTCTCCCTCTTCCTCCCTCCCGTTCTCTCTTTCCCTCTCTACCTCCCCTTCTCTCTCTCTCTCCCTCTTCCTCCCTTCCTCTCCCATTCCCTCCATTTTTCTTCCTCTTCCTTTTTCTCTCTCTCTCCTCCCTCCCTCTCTTTCTCTTCCACTCCCTCCCTCCTCCTTTCTTCCTGTCTCTCTCCTCCCTTTCTCTTCCTCCCTCCTCCTTCCTTCCCTCCCTTTAATTCCTCTCTCTCCTACTCCCTCCCTCCCTTTCTCTTCCTCTCTCCCTCCCTCCCTCCCCCCTTCCTCAGCGCTAGTCGAGAATCCGAGGGTCGGGACGCGGCGGCGCCTAAGAATACCCTTCGGCTCGGCGGTCGTCGGCCCCGCGCTATGTGCCGCCGCAGGTGCTGCCCCTCGCCGCCCGCACGCCCGCCGGCCGAGGGCATGGCCAGGAGCTGCTGCCCAGAAGGGGGGGGGGGTTTGTTTTGTTATGTGTAGTTGTTTGAGTGTGTATATGTGTTTATTTATTTGAGTGCGTATGTGAGTGTGTGTGTGTTTGAGTGTGTATGTGTGTGTGTGTGTTTGTTTGAGTGTGTGTTTGTTTAAGTGTGTATGTGTGTGTTTATTTGAGTGTGTATGTGTTTGTGTGTTTTTGTTTTGTATGTATGTTTGCATGTTTGAGTGTGTGTTTGCGTTCTACTTCCGGTGAATAGAGACAGCCTCCTGAGTTTCATTTCATCCAAATATTAAAAAAAAAAGTTAGAGACTCATTCCTCTCAGAGAAAACTATAAAGAATAACAACATAGAACCTCTTGGCCATTTTTTGTCTCCAAAATAAATGCGAATTCTGCATTTTTTTCGTTAATCCTTTCTTCTTTCTCTTAATCCATTTCGTTTACACTCTCCTGTGACCGCGTTTGCAAAATGTCTGAATCCTCAAGCGCGCCAAATTTAAAACAGGCAGCTGGTGACCCTGACACACAAAAAGGACATTGGAATATCCCAGTTTTGTTTAGCCCATCCCTTACCCACCTCCCTCCCTCCCTTCCTCCCTCCTTCGCCCTACTCTTCACCCGCCTTCCCTCAATCTCACCTCCACTTTACCCTTACCCATTTTTTTTTCTCTTCTTCCGGTCTTCACTCCCTCCATTGCCCACTTCCCTTCCCCCTCCCTTCCCTAACCCCCACCCCTCCCCCTCGTCTCTCGTCTCTCTCCCTCCTCTCTCCTCCTAGTCCCTCCCCTCTCCCTCCCCTACCCACCCACCCCTTCCCCTCCTCCCACCCACCCACCCCCCAGCGAACGAGCCCCACCATCTTGGCTGAAGACAAGAGAACCAGCTGGCTTTGGGCTTTCCCACCTGCCGGCCTTCTTATCGCTAAGCCATCTGCAACGACTCCTGAAGGGCTGCAGGTGGCGCCTTTGTTTAGCGTGCTAGGTCGCCCCCCGTGTCAAAACATACGACTTAGGTTCAAAGGCGATATGGACTCGCTTGTGTTATAGGGCTGGTTCTGGGAGTGGCCTAAATTGTCGGGTTTTGGGCTTGGAGGAAGTTCTAATCACATAGTTGGGGGAGAAATGTGTTATGATAACACGTCTTAAGTTATCTTTGATATAACAAGTCTTGATGTTATCTATAATAAAAAATGAGTCTTAAAGTTGTATTTAGTATTTCATTTTATGTCCGAAGTTCACTCGGAACACAACTCTACATACATTGCAAAATTAAATAAACAAATCATTTAATTAATCAACTAACCAACCATAATTAGCGTTTTCGACGAGCTTTGACCCTCGGAAATGAAAAACGAGGTCACACAAACAGCAGGGCATAAAGGTAGTTGTTGCTTCTTGAATATCACGTGGCTAGTCAGAGAGACACTTTCTTCCCCCCAGAACTTGGCAACTTTGTGCACTTTGTCTTATAAACCCTCTTTGTCCTTTTTCGCCGTAATATAGTGCCTTTGTATACTACGTTGTTCAAGATGTAAAATATCATTTTTTTTTTTTAATTCCTGAAAGTTATTACTATTTTTTGGGTCTAAAACATTCTTTTAATTTTTCTGCTGAATTTTAATTTTTGTTTTCAATTTGCATTAACGTTGCTCATTCTTTTGATATCTTTGAATAATCTCCTGAGTTGGATGGTAGAGAAACATTTTTGGACACTTGATTTGAAATACATTATGTGAATTCTTGGAAAATATTACTGACAGCCGGTTGAGAAAATACAGATGTTTCCGTTTCGAAAAGTTTGTAGAAGCTGTCAAGACTTTTTGAGCGTTTTCCAGAATGGAGAAAACACACATACACATACGCACACACATATACATACACACACGCACACGCGCGCGCGCAGAGATAGATAGATAGATAGATAGAGAGAGAGAGAGAGAGAGAGAGAGAGAGAGAGAGAGAGAGAGAGAGAGAGAGAGAGAGAGAGAGAGAGAGAGAGAGAGAGAGAGAGAGAGAGAGACACTAAGAGTGAAACAGTCTGCGAGAGATACAGATGCATCTCGTCTGAATACCTGCAGCCTCACTAACCTCAATGTAAATCCACCATCGGGAAAGAAATAGACTGATAAGAAAGAGGAGAGCGAATTTTGCGCATTTTTCCCAAACAAGCGCCCGAATACCAGGGCTTCGAGATGGCCGCTTATTCGCACAGTCGACA